CTGTCAACCACCGCCATCACCGGAAACCTGTCCCCGCATCTGAAGTGGACAGGCACGGCGACACATCCATGCTCCCCGTGTGGGGATGCATGGTGCAGTACCGCCCGCCGACATCAACCATCGGCAAATTTGCAAGCCGCGCGCGCTGGGGAATCCACCTCTACATCAGCCGCGAATACAAGGCGTGGCTAATTCTGGACCTCATCAGCCAGAAAATCACGAAGGCGCGCGACGTGATTGTCAAACATACTAGCAGACGGGCCTAAGCTTAGTAGCCTAGGCCACGCTAAGACTAGGAAGGAGGCGCCAAGTACGAGGGAGAGTTGAGCAAACGGAAACAGAATTGAAGAAAGGATGATTGGACTAGCAAGCAGCAGGATACAAATAGCAAACCCTAAGGGGCTATACTCACTATTGAGTACCCCACTGCAGGCTACACAAATAACATACTCTGACACACCCCCATAGCCAAAGTGGGGTGTAATCAGCACAATGAGCAGGCATAGCAGTAGTTCACAATTTATTAGCAAAGCTAGAGGCAGTCACAGAGGGCAAGTGAGGAGGAGGAGGGACTGCGAGAGGAGAGAAGATGGGAGGCGACGACTGAAGCTGCAGACACACGGGCAACAGGAGCGCGGCTGGCACAGTGGCTACCGAGAGCACGACGGCTCCGGACTACAGGAGTAACAGGCTCTGCGGCTACGACGAGCGGCAGGAGCAACGGACCCACGGGCGACTGGCGCAGCAGGCTCGCTAGGCTACTAGAGCGCGACGGCTCCGGACTACTGGCGCTGCAGACGACAAGACGGCTGCCTCCACACAACATCCTCCAACTGTCCCACACCCCCCACCACACACCCCCTGCTGCACCCCTAGCTCCACTCCCACATCACCCCCCTAGCTCCACTCCCCGCGGCTCCCACACCTCCACCCCCCTCAGCAGCAGCTGCAGCAGTGGGAGACGAAAAAGGAGGAGGGGAAAGGGAAGGGGAGCACCCACACCTCGCACCCCCATGCTCGCCACCCCACACCCCCACCACCGCGGAACGCACGGCGGAATGGGAGCAATGGGCAGCACGGGGGGGGGGGGGGGGGGGGGGGACGGGACGGGCTGCAGGGACGGGCCGCGGGCTGCTGCAGGGGCGGCTCGCGCGGGTCCTGGGGCGGCTGCTGCAGGCACGGGCTGCTCCAGGGGCGGCTGCTGCAGGTGCGGGCTGCTCCAGGGGCGGCTGCTGCAGGTGCGGGCGGCTCCAGGGGCGGCCGCTGCAGGTGGAAGGTAGGAGGGAGGGGGGGGGAGGAGCGCGGCCCCCAGGGCGCCCCGATGGGCGACGAGAAAGGGAGCCGCGCGGGCCCCCAGGGCCGCCGCGACGGGCGACGGGAAGGGCGCCGCGCGGGCCCCCCCGGAGCGCCACGACGGGCGACGGGAGGGGAGGCCGCGCGGGCCCCCGAGAGCGCCTCGACGGGCGACGGGAGGGGACCGCGAGCGGGCCCCCGTGGTCGCCACGACGGGCGACGGGAGGGGAGGCCGCGCGGGCCCCCGAGAGCGCCTCGACGGGCGACGGGAAAGGACCGCGCGCGGGCCCCCGTGGTCGCCACGACGGGCGACGGGAGGGGAGGCCGCGCGGGCCCCCGAGAGCGCCTCGACGGGCGACGGGAGGGGACCGCGCATGCCCCCGAAGGGCGCCACGACGGGCGCCACGGAGGGGTAAACCGCCACGCGCCCCGAGCGCGCGGCGGGCAGAAACCCTAATTTCCGCGCCGCGCACCACGGGGCGCGCGGCGGACAGTATGGCAGCGGAAGTAGGTGGTGGGCCCATGCACAGGAAGGCGGCAGAGACATGCCACCCTCTGATACCATGTCAAACATACTAGCAGACGGGCCTAAGCTTAGTAGCCTAGGCCACGCTAAGACTAGGAAGGAGGCGCCAAGTACGAGGGAGAGTTGAGCAAACGGAAACAGAATTGAAGAAAGGATGATTGGACTAGCAAGCAGCAGGATACAAATAGCAAACCCTAAGGGGTTGTACTCACTATTGAGTACCCCACTGCAGGCTACACAAATAACATACTCTGACAGTGATCTTCTACGAACGTCTCTTCCTCGGCCATTTGCGCAAAGACGAGCGAACAAACGCAAATCGCGTTTACGCCAACGACGGGCACAGCTACGCCACACCCGAGGATGAAGCCGCTGCATCCATCCTGGAGCAAGACACGAGAGGCGAATTCACAGGAGAAGATCGCCGCAGCAGCGACGACGACGACGAAGACCCCTCATGTAGAGGAGCCGGCGGAGCAGGAGGCTTCGGCGGAGCAGGAGGAAGCGGCAGAGGCGCAGCGGCACCACCGCCTGAACCGGAGAGCGACGATGATGACGTGCAGGAGGTCATCCCGCAGCATCGCCACGACAGCACCGTCTCAGGACTACAACTGCTAGGTCTCCACACTGCCACCTCAACGGCGCCATGTGTCATCGAGCCCAAGAATCCGCGCCAGGCACTCACGAGACCACACAACAAGGAATGGCGCGAGTCGATGGATGCAGAAATCAGGGCGCTCGAGTCCCGCGACACCTGGGTGCTTGTCGATCGCCCCGCAATCAAGGGGAGAAGGATCCTCTCCGAGAAGTGGGTCTTCCGCGTGAAGACCACATCGGACGGTACAATCGAGCGATTTAAGGCGCGTTGGGTTGTGCGCAGTTACGATCAAAGGCACGGCATCGACTTCGATCAGACGTTTGCGCCAGTCAGCCGTCATACCTCCGTCAGAATTCTCCTCGCCATCGATGCCGCACGACACCTACCGCTCCGACAAATCGATGTGAAGAGCGTGTTCCTTTACGCGCTGGTGGACGCAGTGATCTACGTGGAGCAGCCGCACACATACGGCGAAGGGGATTCACGCGTGTGCCAACTGCGAAAGTTTCTATACGGAATCAGACAAGCGCCAAGGCTCTGGCAGCAGTACCTGCACAACATCCTGCTTGAAATAGGCTTCAAGCAGCTGCCTCACGATCCAGGGATGTATCGCCGTGATTTATGCGGTGAATACATCCTGCTCACGGTCTACGTCGACGACTTCCTCTACACAGGTTCAAGCAACGAACTGCTTGAGCAGTCCGAGAAGAATCTTGCAGGGCGCGTTGACATCACCTGCAACCACGAAGTGAAGCACTTTCTCGGCCTCAATATCACTTACTCACCAGAAGCCATTCATCTCTCAGCAGCCAAGTATGCAGAAGAACTTGGCAAGCGCTTCAACATCGCACCTGCACCACTCTCCACCCCTTACCGCACTTCTGGACCCAACCACAAGCCTAACAACAAAGCCCTGTCCCCCGCTGGACTCCAGACTTACCAGCAGCAGCTGTGATGTCTACTCTTCGTCTCTGTTACCTGCAGGCCCGATCTCTCGTACATCGCGAGCCAGCTGGCTCAGTACTCCCGCAAACCAACGGCTGAGAATCTCCTAGATCTTCAGCGGGCACTGCAATTCTTCATCTCAACGCCCAATGTCGGGCTCTGCTATTCCACAGTCCCAACCACCTCCTTCAGCCTCATTGGCTACGTGGACGCCGATCACGCTGCTGACCCCGACAATCGACGGTCCAGGACAGGGTTCCTGTTCCGCCTCGAGCCAGCAGGACCCATCTCCTGGAATTCGCAGAAATAAGAGCTGGTTGCCCTGTCATCAACGGAAGCAGAGTTCATCGCCGCAACAGCAGCAGTTCGCGAGGGGCTTTACCTACAGGAGCTCCTACAGGAGGCGGAAATTCCATCTTCGCCCACCTTTCGCCTGCACTGCGACAACCAGAGCGCGATCAGGATCGCGAACAAGCATGGATTCGTTAACCGCACCAAACACATTGCGCTGCGGTATTTCTTCGTCAAGGACGAAGTTGACAAGGGCAAGGTTGACCTAACCTACTCCCGACGGGTGACATGGCAGCTGACTTCCTCACGAAGCTACTGTCACGTCAGCAGTACCAGCACTGCTCCGAACTCAGCGGAGTAGTCAAGCGGGTCAAGACCAGCTACGGCCAGGAGTGAAGGGGGGTGTTACGGATAGTAAAAGATGAAGTGTTACTGTGTACTCCTGACATTTGCAATCGAAGTATGCAGTACCGAGGCTGAAGACGAAAAGGCGGAATGACGTGAAGGGTCGTATGGTTACGAAGCATCTGGACCGTCGGGGCAGACAGCATCAGGCAACAGCAGTGGCGAGGATTCTGCCCGAGCAGTTCGTAACCGTCTGGAGTCGCACGGTTGGGTTTCGCTGCAATAAAGGAATGTACCCCTTAGAGTACATGGCTAGCTAGGTCGTTTCGTATTCCACCTTGTACTCTTATTTATATGCATGTATTTGCATGTTTTAATTCATCTCAATCATTTTACATTCACTCTGATTTGAGGTCAAGGGCCCACCACCACCACTACCTAGTTGTGTGCGAACCTTCCTGAGGTGATCCTGGTTACGATCAACTTCTGATCGCAACAATTTTAACACTAAGTATTGCACATACGGTAATTTTATTACCGTCTAACCCCGGATATAAGCGCCACGGCGCTTATAATAAAATCAGTTTTTTTAGGGGTGGTGCTTGTAATTGAATAACGGCCATAAGCGCCGGCGCTTATATAATGACAAATACAAATTTATACTTTAAAGGTACCAAACTGTACCTTTCATTGTTGCCATTTCAAACGAGTCGAAATAATATAGCGTCACAAAGCAGAATCGCGCGCAAGCGATTCTGCTTCCTGTACACGGGCAAATTCGCGTCACTTCGCAGGCATGCCAGCACATCCTGACTGGACGCGCAGCCAGTCTGGTCTTCGCGAGTCAAACGAAGCGAAAATGAATTTTGACTCGCTGCAAAACTGAAATTCGTTACCGATTACAACTGAGATTTTGGCCATAAGCGCCATGCTCCAGATAGAAGCGCCGGCGCCTGTAATAGGCCGGCGCCTATATCCGGGGCCATACGGTACAGTTACAAGTTACAACCAAAAGTTCATGTCTCGCAGACAAACCTCCTGCTGCCTGCTGTCCTCCCCACAGCTCACCTGCACGGCCACTATCTCCTTCCTATGCGCCTCCAACCATGCCCTATCCCCCACCACCTTCCACCCAGGCGGGAATAACTGCTCTGGAAGCACCACCACGCTTGCTCCCCTTGGCTCCTCTCCTGTATCTCCTGTGCCTCCTCCCCTACCTGCATCCATGCCTGCTCCCGTACTTAAATCCAAGCCTCCTGCCGAACCTCCACTCCTCCCATCCTCCTCCACTCCCACAAGCCTAGCTTCCCGAACCATCTCAGCCACAGCATTGTTGAGTGCCCGTTTGAGAACCTCCGGACCAGAAAAGACACCCGAACCACCCTCCCTTGCTGCTTCTGCAATCTGATAACCTCTTAAAGCCCTGTCAGCCCAGCGGTGCACCATGGCTTGCACAGCAGGGGAGGGGCGAAGAGCCATGAGCCATGGAGAGAGGGACCCTAGAAAGGATGGCACGAGGGCGGTGGTGTTAGGGGGTGCAGGGGCCGCTGCCTGCTGTGTGCTGCCCAGTAGGGAGGGTGTGAGGGAGGTGGTGTTGGAAGGTACTGAAGGCTCTGCCTGCTGTGTGCTGCTGCCACCCTTGTTCTCTGCAGTCTCTCTCAGTTCCCTCTCTTCTGCTCGTTGCGCTGCTGGTGCCTCTGCTTGCTGAGTGCTACCCCCACCCTCACCCACCTGCTCCGTTCTGTTTCCCAGCCCCTTCTCTGCTGCCCCGTGTGCCCCGTGCGACGATGGTGCCTCTGCTAGCTGCGTGCTGCCCCCACCCTCACCCTCTCCCACCTTCTCTGTACTCTTTTGCAGCCCCTTCACCCCGTGTGGCAGCGCTGGTGCCTCTGCTTGCTGAGTGCTGCCCCCACCCTCACCCACCTTCTCCGTACTGTTTCCCAGCCCTTTTTCTGCTGCCCCGTGTGCCCCGTGCAGCGTTGGTGCCTCTGCTTGCTGCGTGCTGCCCTCACCCTCACCCATCTGCTCCATACCTTTTCCCATCTCCTTATCTGCTGCCCGTTCTCCCTCTTGCGTTGCTGGTGGCTCTGCTTGCTGTGTGCTGTTCCTACCCTCTCCCACCTGCTGCTCTGTGCTGTTTCCTTGCCCCTTCTCTGCTGCCCCTTCTGCACTTTGAATCGCTGGTGCCTCTGCTTTCCGTGTGCTACCCCCACCCTCACCTTCCTGCTCCGCACCGTTTCCCATCCCCTTCCCTGCTGCCCCTTGTGCCCCTTGTGTTGCTGGTGCCTCTGCCTGCTGCTGCTGTTGCTGCTGCTGCTGTGGTTGGTCTTGGTGGGAGAGGGAGGGCAGCACGAGGGAGTGGGATGGCGGGAAGTAGGGGCGTGGGTCCCGCAGCCACAGCGAGTTGATGTCGCTGGGAGGACATGGAGGGGAGGACATGGAGGGGAGGGTGCAGGGTGGCACGAATGGGGGCGAAGGGGAAGAAAGAGTGAAGAGAGAGCTATGGGAAAATAGAATGATGGTGGGAAGTAGGGGCGTGCGTCCCGCAGCCACAGCGAGTTGATGTCGCTGGGAGGACATGGAGGGGAGGACATGGAGGGGAGGGTGCAGGGTGGCACGAATGGGGGCGAAGGGGAAGAAAGAGTGAAGAGAGAGCTATGGGAAAATAGAATGATGGTGGGAAGTAGAGGCGTGCGTCCCGCAGCCACAGCGAGTTGATGTTGCAGGGGGGCGGGGAGAGTGCACGGAAAGAGTGGGGTGGGGGAGGGGAAAGAGCGGGGAATGGAAGCACAAGTGTAGGGTCGGGCGTCTCGCAGCCACAGGGTGTTTTTGAGAATTCTCAGGGTGTTTTTGAGAATTCTCAAAAAAACCCTGCAGCAGAATGGAAGCAGTGTAGGGTCGGGCGTCTCGCAGCCACAATGAGTTGATGTTGCTGGGAGGTGGGGCGGGCAGGGTGCATGGAAGGTGGGGGAGGAGAAAGGGTGGGGAAGGGAATGAGGAAAATCTGAGGGAACTACAAGGGGTGGGAGAATGAGGAAACCTGTCCACCGTGCACCAGCGCTCTGGAACAATGAGGTGATTACATCATATTGACTGAGCTTATTATATTATATTGACTGAGCTGATTATATCATATTGACTGAGCTGATTATATCATACTGACTGAGCTGATTATATCATATTGACTGAGCTGATTAAATCATATGGACTGAGCTGATTATATCATATTGACTGAGCTGATTATATCATATTGACTGAGCTGATTATATCATATTGACTGAGCTGATTATATCATATTGACTGAGCTGATTATATCATATTGACTGAGCTGATTATATCATATTGACTGAGCTGATTATATCATATTGACTGAGCTGATTATATCATATTGACTGAGCTGATTATATCATATTGACTGAGCTGATTATATCATATTGACTGAGCTTATTATATCATATTGACTGAGCTGATTATATCATATGGACTGAGCTTATTATATCATATTGACTGAGCTGATTATATCATATTGACTGAGCTGATTAAATCATATGGACTGAGCTGATTATATCATATTGACTGAGCTGATTATATCATATTGACTGAGCTGATTATATCATATTGACTGAGCTGATTATATCATATTGACTGAGCTGATTATATCATATTGACTGAGCTGATTATATCATATTGACTGAGCTGATTATATCATATTGACTGAGCTGATTATATCATATTGACTGAGCTGATTATATCATATTGACTGAGCTGATTATATCATATTGACTGAGCTGATTATATCATATTGACTGAGCTGATTATATCATATTGACTGAGCTGATTATATCATATTGACTGAGGTGATTATATCATATTGACTGAGCTGATTATATCATATTGACTGAGGTGATTGCATCTCACCTCTAGCAGCACAACTCATTGCACCTGTAGACAACGGTCATGTTGGCAGCCAGCAAGCGGGCGAGGATGAGTGGAACATGGAGTAAATAGAATGTATTTCATTTCTAGTAGCGATGTGCAAGCGCACTGTACCTGTAGACGACCGTCATGTTGGCAGCCAGCAAGCGAGCGAGGATGAGTGGAACATGGAGTAAATAGAATGTATTTCATTTCTAGTAGCGATGTGCAAGCGCACTGTACCTGTAGACGACCGTCATGTTGGCAGCCAGCAAGCGAGCGAGGATGAGTGGAACATGGAGTAAATAGAATGTATTTCATTTCTAGTAGCGATGTGCAAGCGCACTGTACCTGTAGACGACCGTCATGTTGGCAGCCAGCAAGCGAGCGAGGATGAGTGGAACATGGAGTAAATAGAATGTATTTCATTTCTAGTAGCGATGTGCAAGCGCACTGTACCTGTAGACGACCGTCGTGTTGGCAGCCAGCAAGCGGGCGAGGATGAGGGGCGGCAGCAGCAGGCACGTGGCTCTGGCCACTCGGGGCGACAAGCTTTTATCGGAGCGCGTGATCACATGGCCGCCTGGCGTGCGCATCTGCATGTTGAGGGGAGGAAAGTGCAGAGGAGACTTGTGATGTGAGGTGGCTCAACAGGGGCGGCAGCAGCAGGCATGTGGCTCTGGCCACTCGGGGAGACACGCTTTCATGGGAGCGAGTAATCACATGGCCGCCTGGCGTGCGCATCTGATTGGTGGTGGGGGAGGGGTGAGACATGGATAGGAAAAGGGCAGAGGGGATTATTGAGTCGACTAAAAAATCTGCACCCACACAAGGAAAGAACAAGGATTCATCTGAGGAGGAGGCATGGAAGTCTCACCCGAGGAGGAATGGAAGTTTCAACCCAGGAGGAGTGGAAGGTTCACCCCAGGAGGAGTGGAAGGTTCACCCCAGGAGGAGTGGAAGGTTCACCCCAGGAGGAGTGGAAGGTTCACCCCAGGAGGAGTGGAATGTTCACCCCAGGAGGAACGGAAATTTCACCCGAGGAGGACCGAAAGTCTCACCCGAGGAATGGAAGTTTCACCTGAGGAGGAATTGAAACTTCACCTGAGGAGGCACGGAAGTTTCACCAGAGGAGGAATGGAAGTTTCACCTGAGGAGGCGCCAAAATTTCACCTGAAGAGGCAAGGAAGTTTCACCTGAGGAGGCACGGAAGTTTCACCTGAGGAGGCACAGAGAAATCATCTGAGGAGGCACAGAGAAATCACCTGAGGAGGCACAGAGAAATCACATGAGGAGGAACAGAGAAATCACATGAGGAGGCCCAGAGGAATCACCTGAGGCCCAGAGAAATCACCTGAGGAGGCCCAGAGGAATCACCTGAGGAGGCCCAGAGGAATCACCTGAGGAGGCCCAGAGGAATCACCTGAGGAGGCCCAGAGGAATCACCTGAGGAGGCCCAGAGGAATCACCTGAGGAGGCACTGAGGCGAGGATAGCGCTCCCGAGGGAAGGAATGCGGGTGATGTGGTTCAGCCAGTTGCGGAATAACAACTCCTGGCCTGAATGTGTGGGGGGGATGACGGTGGGCAACCAGGCATGACGAGGGACACGTGAGTGATGCAGCAAGGAGAGGCTGGTAAGGGAAGGGATGAGCCTCATGTGGGCAAGCAAGGCAGTTGCGGAATAACAACTCCTCTCCTGGCCTGCAGATGGGAGGTGATGGGGAGGACTGGCATGGGAAGGGGTTGGTGATGGCAGGGTGGCAGTAACAACAAGAGGGCGGCAAGGGGAGGAGGAATGAGGCTGATTTGATCGAGCCAGTTGCGGAACCGCAACTCCTGGCCTGCAGATGCGAGGTGATGGGGAGAAGGGGTGTGCCTTACGTGGGGAGGGGTCGGTGATGGGAGCAACAAGAGGCCGGTAAGGGAAGGTGGGGTGTGACCTATGTGGGTCACACCCACATGTCTGTCTGGCAAGATGGATGAGAGGTGATGGTGGAGTGGAGGAACCGGGTAGGTATGGGGGAGGGGTCGGTGATGGGAGCAACAAGGGGAGGGTGCGTGCAACCTGTGCACCAGTTGCAGAACAAAAACTGCTGGCCTGAGGGTAGGGACTCAAGAGGTTGGGTTGGGCTGGGGGGTTTGTTTGTTGAGTCTGCTTTGGAGGTTCGCGAGATGGGCGGAGGTGTTTTTTGCGTGCAACTCACAAGTCCTCTTCACTTCCCCCAACCTCTTAACTTCCTTTTGACCCCTCACAATTCCCACAACCTCTTAACTTCCTCTTGACCCTCACAAGTCCCGAGATGACGCCACAATTTGGTTCCTTGTGAAGTGGTCACCCCGAAAAAAAAAAAGAACGAGCATCAAGTGTCAAACCGCATGTCAAGCATCAAATCAAGCGACCAAAACGATTGATGCTTGATTACCCCAACTCACCACCAAATCAATTCCAGACCACCGCCTCACTTACCCCAACTCACCACCAATTAGAAACTGACCTCCCTTAACGCAACGCACCATCGCATGCGACAGTTACAATCACCAACCCAGCAGATATCACAACACCCATCGCCCCCTCCTCCATCTTCTGCAAATGCTCCCCCACCCACGGCTCCACTGCTGCTAGTACCCTCGCCTCCCAACCCCCTTCCCGCTCCCCACCTCTTCCACCAGCGCTTCCCACCCGTGTCTGGTCCTTGCCCTCTTTCCTGCTCCCTGTGCTGCTTTCCTCTATCCCCACTCCCACCATCCTTGCACCCTCATCCTTCTCACGGACCCTAGCCACTGGGAACAGCAAGATTGGCTCCTCCTCCTCACCCTCCTCCTGCACCCCTTCTTCTCCTTTTTTTTCAGCCGTTTCATCGCCCGCCTCCTCCCCGTCACCCACCCCCCGCCCTCTCTCCTGCCCCTCAACCAGCGTTGCAGCAGAAGAAGCATTTGTGGCAGCCGCACCAGAAGCAGCAGAACCAGCGACTGTTGCATTGCCCTGCTCTTTCACCTTCACCCGCCACAGACCCGCCTTCTTCAACCCCTTGATCTTCGCCTCCTTCCCAGTCAGATAATTCGCATGTACCATCACCACTCTCGGCTGCACCTCCTCAAACTCCTCCCAATGCTGCGCCATCAGCTGCCCAGACGGGAACTGCAGCGGCGGCAGCACACCAATCCGAGGCAGCACCTTTCTTTGGTGCATCCACTGCATCACCAGATTGAACTGAGTCTGGTCCATCCCCCCCTGCCGACCCAGCTTCGCCAAGCGAAACGCCCAGTTGCCCACGAGGCTCTTGGCGGCGAGAGTGGGGCGGAAGAAGAGTAGGCAGGTGCAGAAGGTTCGGTCTCCGTTGAGGTAGTATGGATCGATTGGCTCTGTATACGGCGACGGCTGCTCCTTATAGCGGTCGAAGCTTAGAAACAAGTCAAAGTCCAAGTCGTTGGTATGAGCGTCAAAAGCAGAAGCAGAAGCAGCATCAGTGGGAAGGATAGGGTCGGGTTTTTGGAAGAAGGGGAGGGGGTTGTGGAGGAAGGCGATGTCGATATCGCTGTAGAGCACAGAGAAGCCAAAGGAGAGCAGATGGTGGATGTAGATGGCCCGGTGCGAGGCCACACGAAAGAAGCCTGCTGACCCGATGCGTGACGCGCCCTCCACATCTACTGTCTCCTCGTCTCCGAACTGCCCACTCAGGTCGAGATGCATGGCCTGCGGGGAACAGGGAGGGTTGGGAGAGGACGGCGTATGGGGTGGGGGGCTGGTTGGTGTGTGACGCGCCCTCCACATCCACTGTCTCCTCGTCTCCGAACTGCCCGCTCAGGTCGAGATGCATGGCCTGCGGGGATGGGGAGGGGCGAGATATAACGGTATAAGGGGGATGGGTGGGTTGGGCGTGCCAACTGGATGCCGTTCTTTCCTAGGACTTTCTCTCCTATTTTGCAATTCTTTCAACATCATACTTGTCATACAGCAGCAACAACACCGGCAGTGGTGCACAAGGCAAGGCATACTCTCGCCATAATTTGGATTTGCCAATAGCTCTTCATGCTTATGCACACTAGGAATCATATATTCTGGAAGAGCGTATTTCCGAAAGTTCGAATTATTCGGATGATTCATGTACTTTGACGAAATAATTACGCCTTATATTTACGATTGTAGTTAGACTTACATCGGGATTCATTTCCAGATCCTGGACCTGTGACAGTGAGATAGGAGGGTATACGGGGGGTGGATGCTGTGGGGGGTTGTGTCGATTTGAAGCGTGACGCGCCCTCCACACGCATCATCGCCTCGTTGCCGGATTCTAATTTTGAGGCGCCTCAAAAGTACGCGCCCTCAACGCTTCTCCTCGTTGCCGGATTGCCCACTCAGGTCGAGATGCATGGCCTGTGGGAACGGGGAGGGGCGGTCGAGGAGGGCACCCAGGTGGCCTGTGGGAACGGGGAGGGGCGGTCGAGGAGGGCATGGTAGGAGGGTGAATCATCAGGCAACTGGGGCATGCTGCGAGAACTCACCTGGCCAGGCCACTTGGAGTGGGCAAACTGAAGGCTTGTGTTGTCGGCGGCAAAGACTATGAAGTGGCGGCCCAGACCCACCCGCTCCAGATGCAGCACCCAGTTCTCCAACATGTCCTCGTAGCCTGGGAACTCGCACGGCGAAAGGGAAAGAGGGTAACAGGGTTACAATGAACTCAACGCGCTCGGGATACACGGAGGAAGAGGAAAGAGAGGAAGAGAGCATATGGAGAGTGTTCAAATGCTGCAGGCAGGTCTTCAGGCAAGTTGCCCTGGAATGGGAGATGTTAGTCGACTCAGAACGACATTTGAGGCGGCTTAGAGAGATGTTATTTTACTTAGAAAAAACTACTGAGGTGGCTTTAAGAGATGTTCGTCGACTCAAAACTACTTTTGAGGCGCCTTTGAGAGATGTTAGCCTGACTCAGATGACCTTTGAGGCGCCTTTGAGAGATGTTAGCCTGACTCAGATGACCTTTGAGGCGCCTTTGAGAGATGTTAGCCTGACTCAGATGACCTTTGAGGCGCCTTTGAGAGATGTTAGCCTGACTCAGATGACCTTTGAGGCGCCTTTGAGAGATGTTAGCCTGACTCAGATGACCTTTGAGGCGCCTTTGAGAGATGTTAGCCTGACTCAGATGACCTTTGAGGCGCCTTTGAGAGATGTTAGCCTGACTCTCAGATGACCTTTGAGGCGCCTTTGAGAGATGTTAGCCTGACTCAGATGACCTTTGAGGCGCCTTTGAGAGATGTTAGCCTGACTCAGATGACCTTTCAGGCGCCTTTGAGAGATGTTAGCCTGACTCAGATGACCTTTGAGGTGCCTTTGAGAGATGTTAGCCTGACTCAGATGACCTTTCAGGCGCCTTTGAGAGATGTTAGCCTGACTCAGATGACCTTTGAGGCGCCTTTGAGAGATGTTAGCCTGACTCTCAGATGACCTTTGAGGCGCCTTTGAGAGATGTTAGCCTGACTCAGATGACCTTTGAGGCGCCTTTGAGAGATGTTAGCCTGACTCAGATGACCTTTGAGGCGCCTTTGAGAGATGTTAGCCTGACTCAGATGACCTTTGAGGCGCCTTTGAGAGATGTTAGCCTGACTCAGATGACCTTTGAGGCGCCTTTGAGAGATGTTAGCCTGACTCAGAGGACCTTTGAGGCGCCTTTGAGAGATTTTAGCCTGACTCAGATGACCTTTGAGGCGCCTTTGAGAGATGTTAGCCTGACTTAGATGACCTTTGAGGCGCCTTTGAGAGATGTTAGCCTGACTCAGATGACCTTTGAGGCGCCTTTGAGCGATGTTAGCCTGACTCAGATGACCTTTGAGGCGCCTTTGAGAGATGTTAGCCTGACTCAGATGACCTTTGAGGCGCCTTTGAGAGATGTTAGCCTGACTCAGATGACCTTTGAGGCGCCTTTGAGAGATGCTCATGCTCATCGACTTAGAAGTCCCGCACACCTGCACACAGCTCGTAGAACAAGCATGCTGCCATAGCCCAGTTACATGCGATGCGAGTAACAGGCGGGTAACCAGCAAAGCGGTTACACTTACACGATCCCACCTCTTCCCTCATGACAAAACCAAGAGAGTGCAACTCCCAAAACTCCAATTCTTCACGCAGCTACAACATAGGCACGAGCTACAGGTCACTCCTGTCTTTGATGGCGCATAAATGGGTTCTCCAGCAAACCCTCGCAGGCTGAGAAACAAGGGTAACAGGTGACATGGTTCACGGGACTCCCTTAGAACGGGGAATAGAGGGTACTGCTAACAGAACGCTGGGGAAACGCAGGGCAGGAGAATGTGGAGATGGGGATAATCGCACCTGCATTTGTCAACGCGATAATGACAGTTCCGTTAAGCGAGACGCGGCTGGCCATGTCCCATAGCGCGCCGAGCTTCTCATGAAGATCGCCGAGGCCGTCTCCTGCCAGGCGACGATGGACTGGTTCGCGAAGGGGTTCGCGAATGGGTTCGCGAAGAGGATTGGCGAAGGAGCAGGCGACGAAACGGGTGCTGAGAAGTAATGCGAGGAGGAGGAGGAGGGGGAGAGAGGAACGAAAGAGGCGCTGGCAGGAAAACGAGGAGGTTCTGAGCACACGTGGCGGTTTTTCTGTGGCTGGAAAATCCATCGCTAACAACCCAGGTCGCGAATCGAAGCGCTCGTGCGAATTACCGGCATTAGCTGCAAAACTTGAACATGCGAGTGAACGGGGTGCATGGGACGGAAGCACATTGCCGCTGCGTCATTTTCTAGGCTGTGTTAACTCAATGCACCAGTCAGCTGAGATTCGGCGTGGGGGGAGAGACTCAGGCGGTAGGGTAAAAGGATATGTAGGGACTCCGAGGCGGGAAACTCTGGATAAAGTCTTCCGCGCTTTGCGCGCCCTTCCCCGCGGCGCTCGTCCTCCAGGGGGAAGCGCATGCGCGCGGCCAGGGAGAACGGCAGAATCCCCCATTCACGCGCCCCACTCCCAGCCGTACAAAATATCCCAGACAACGGGACTAGCAACTGTGCGTTTCTCGCGACCCATTTGCGAAGGATGGTGGCCTTCAGCGAATCGATTATCGAGGCTCGCTTATCGCGAATCGAGTTCTGAGGCGACCCTGCTTTTGAGGGGCAACGAATTTGCTGGTCCCTTGTTCCTTCACCATAGGAAGGTCGTCGCGAAGTGATGCGATTTTAGTTTACAGCAGAAGATCGTGCCGTAACGGTTTTCGCGAACCGTCGCGGGCGTCGCCTCATCGCTGTCACAGTGTGCACACGTCTGATTTTTATCGCCTTGACGGTTCTGTTGTTGCAACACCAGTGGACAATGATTGCATCGCGATAGTTTTGACGACTACAGATTACGTCGGTTACCGTTCGCAGCTTCAGATTGTTGGAAGTTCGTCGTGCAAATGTTCCTCGCCCGCAACTATGTGCTGTGGAGTGCGGAGAAATTTAGCATGGGTTCAGTGCGGTTGTGAGCAAAGCCTGGCCTCAGTGCTCTCTTGATCCTCGAGATTGCCTACCTACCGCGCCAAAAATACCCGTTAGTGATCCACCATTGCACTTTCCAAGGCACGCTACGAGCAACAGCCGCCAGTCACGGCGAACGTCAGGGAAATTGTTGCTTGCCATCGCTGTCGCGTGCCTCGTGGCGCGCTTCTTTCACGAGCTAATCGTTCCGCGAACAACTTATGCGTCTCTATTGTAGTAAAACCGCGCTGGGGACTGAAATCGCCAAGGGAATTCTACGACCACAAGATAACTTGTCTTAGTTACGAACAGGTTGCTAAGACGGGCTTCACACGAATGTCGCCGACTCAAGAACAAGGGTGCAAGTTCTTTGAGAATTCTCAGGTGCCTTTTGAATCGACTCAAAAGTCACCTGAAAAAGCACCTGCAACAAAATGGACTCAAGGACAAGGGCCCATTTCATTCGCGCCAGAACTCTCCACAGGACGCTTGACACGTGTCGGAGTTTATCATCTTTCCGCCATACAAATTTTCCCACGTGCGCCGAGACGGTCGCCGTTCTCCTGTCAACGCCCCTTCCGTTTCTCTCTCGCCCTCCTCCTCGCGATTCTTCTCCGCAACCAGTTCGTCGCATGCTCCTTCGCCGAACCTCTTCGCGAACCTGGTCGCGAACCATTTCGCGAACCCCTTCGCGAACCAGTCCATCGTCGCCTGGCAGGAGAAGGCCTCAGCGATCTTCAAGGGAAGCTCGGCGCGCTATGGGACATGGCCAGCCGCGTCTCGCTCAACGGGACTGTCATTATCGCGTCCTCGAATGCAGGTATGCTGTAGAATGTCGTCTGGGTGAGGTTTAGTAATCCCTAGAATGGCCCTCGTTACAAGGATATGATGATTGTTGGAACAGGAGAGTTTTTGCCTTCCGCTGTCTTCTGCTCTGCGTGTTACGGGGTTACCGGGTATCCTTGGTGGATGGAATCATGCAGGTGGAACAAATGAGAGGAAACTTTCATCATCTGCTCTCCTGTTGGTCATTATGTAGCTACTACCTACCATACCACATGCAACCTTGCTACCCCGTTTCCCTGTTACTCTGTTACCCTGTTACGCCGTCATTTTATCACTGGTGACTTCACGAGGCCACACTGGAAAGGGGCGTTGCACCTGAAAGCGTTGAGTGGCCCCTCCCCTTCCCTTGCCCTATTGCCCTTCTCCCACACTTCCCTGCTACCCATATTCCTCGGTTACACTCACCATGTGATCATGCCATTCCCTCCCCTGTGCCCTGATACCCAGTTACCCTGTGACCATGCCACAGGGCTGACACGCAGGCTACAAGGAGGGCATGATGGGGAACTGGGTCCTGCAGGGTTTAGGGGTTGATTTCAGTGTAAACCTGTTACCCTGTTACCCTGTCACTCTGCCACTCTGTGCCACTGGGCTGGCACACAGGTTACGAGGACATGTTGGAGAACTGGGTGCTGCATCTGCAGCGGGTGGGTCTGGGCCGCCACTTCATAGTCTTTGCTGCTGACAGCAAGAGCCTCGAATTCGCCCACTCCAAGTGGCCTGGCCAGGTGAGTCGCTGAGACGCCTGGAAAAAGTGGTAACTGGTTACTGCTGGTAACAGTTAACTGGTTACTGGTAACTTATAGCTGGTAACCGAACACCTAGACGGTTCAAGGTTTGGTTTGGTTTACTCAGCTCAGGTTTGCGACACATGACAGGTCAATTGCCTTGCTCGTTCATGGCCGTCTCTCGTGCAGCTCTCCTCCTTCTCCCCTCCCATGCTTTCGATCTTGGGTTGGAGCCAGTTTTCAAAATTGGCTATTCTCCCAATGCTTCCTGTTTTTTAGGCGCCTCAAACTAAATCTCAAATTTTACTATTTTTCCTGACAATTCTCCTGCTGCTTCCTGCCATTACTTTTTTTTTAGGCGCCTCAAAAATAGATTCTGTGAGAGGTGGTGGGGTGGAAGTGGAGGGGGCATCACTCATCAACTTGGCACAACTCCCCACCCAAACGATCCATCCCCCTTAAACCCTCCGCTCAGCTCTCACCCCTCTCCATTCCCGCACGCCATTCATCTCAACCTGAGCGAGCAGTTTGGCAACAAGGAGAAGGAATATGTGGAGGGGGTATCACTCATCGGGTCAGCAGCACAACCCCTTATCCCACCCACTCCCCTTAATACCCCGCCTATCCTACTTCAGTCCGCACAACCCCCCACCCCACCCACCCTACTTTACACCCGCCCATTTTCCTTACACCCACCCATGCCCATTTTGCCCCCACTTCGCATCGCAGGCCATTTATCCGGACCTGAGTGGGCAGACGTGGAGGGAGCATCATGGATCGGGTCAACCAAGGTCAACACAACCTTTAACCCCACTCACCCCTTCTTATACCCTGCCATTCCGCGTACACTCTCCTCTCTCACCGCTCCCCATTCTCACTCCCTTTTCCACAGGCCATGCATCTCGACTTGAGTGGGCAGTTCGGGAATGAGGAGAGGGCAGGGCAGAGGTGGAGGGCGCATCATGCATCAAGTTAGCACAACCCTCCACCGCATTCCACCCCTCCCCATTCCCGCACGCCATACACTTCGACCTGAGTGGGCAGTTTGGTCAAGAGGAGAGGGCAGACGTGGAGGGGGCATCGCGCATCGGCTCAGAACATCCCCCCCCCCACCCACACACACCCTTGTATACTCGCCCCTCCCCGTTCCAACAGGCCATACATCTCGACCTGAGTGGGCAGTTTGGTCAAGAGGAGAGGGCGGACGTGGAGGGGGCATCGGTCATCGGGTTAGCCGCCTTCCACCCCCCTTCATAACCCCTACTCCCTCCTCTTGACCCTCCCTGTTCCCGCAGGCCATTCATCTCGACCTGAGTGGCCAGTTTGGTCAGGAGGAGAGGGCGGATGTGGAGGGGGCATCGGTCATCGGGTTAGCCGCCTTCCACCCCCCTTCATAACCCCTATTCCCTCCTCTTGACCCTCCCTGTTCCCGCAGGCCATTCATCTCGACCTGAGTGGCCAGTTTGGTCAGGAGGAGAGGGCGGATGTGGAGGGGGCATCGGTCATCGGGTTAGCCGCCTTCCACCCCCCTTCATAACCCCTATTCCCTCCTCTTGACCCTCCCTGTTCCCGCAGGCCATTCATCTCGACCTGAGTGGTCAGTTTGGTCAGGAGGAGAGGGCGGATGTGGAGGGGGCATCGGTCATCGGGTTAGCCGCCTTCCACCCCCCTTCATAACCCCTATTCCCTCCTCTTGACCCTCCCTGTTCCCGCAGGCCATTCATCTCGACCTGAGTGGCCAGTTTGGTCAGGAGGAGAGGGCGGATGTGGAGGGGGCATCGGTCATCGGGTTAGCCGCCTTCCACCCCCCTTCATAACCCCTATTCCCTCCTCTTGACCCTCCCTGTTCCCGCAGGCCATTCATCTCGACCTGAGTGGCCAGTTTGGTCAGGAGGAGAGGGCGGATGTGGAGGGGGCATCGGTCATCGGGTTAGCCGCCTTCCACCCCCCTTCATAACCCCTATTCCCTCCTCTTGACCCTCCCTGTTCCCGCAGGCCATTCATCTCGACCTGAGTGGCCAGTTTGGTCAGGAGGAGAGGGCGGATGTGGAGGGGGCATCGGTCATCGGGTTAGCCGCCTTCCACCCCCCTTCATAACCCCTATTCCCTCCTCTTGACCCTCCCTGTTCCCGCAGGCCATTCATCTCGACCTGAGTGGCCAGTTTGGTCAGGAGGAGAGGGCGGATGTGGAGGGGGCATCGGTCATCGGGTTAGCCGCCTTCCACCCCCCTTCATAACCCCTATTCCCTCCTCTTGACCCTCCCTGTTCCCGCAGGCCATTCATCTCGACCTGAGTGGCCAGTTTGGTCAGGAGGAGAGGGCGGATGTGGAGGGGGCATCGGTCATCGGGTTAGCCGCCTTCCACCCCCCTTCATAACCCCTATTCCCTCCTCTTGACCCTCCCTGTTCCCGCAGGCCATTCATCTCGACCTGAGTGGCCAGTTTGGTCAGGAGGAGAGGGCGGATGTGGAGGGGGCATCGGTCATCGGGTTAGCCGCCTTCCACCCCCCTTCATAACCCCTATTCCCTCCTCTTGACCCTCCCTGTTCCCGCAGGCCATTCATCTCGACCTGAGTGGCCAGTTTGGTCAAGAGGAGAGGGCGGATGTGGAGGGGGCATCGGTCATCGGGTCAGCAGCCTTCCACCGGGTGGCCTCCCACCGAGCAGTCTACATCCACCATCTGCTCTCCTTTGGCTTCTCCGTGCTCTACAGTGATATCGACATCGCCTTCCTCCACAACCCCCTCCCCTTCTTCCAAAAAACGGACGCTAGCAGCAGCAGTGCCAGCAGTAGCAGTGGCAGCAGTAGCAGTGGCAGCAGCAGCAGCGGCGATATTAAACCAGACCCTGACTTAAATGCGTCTGCGGCCGATGATGTTACCGATTTTGACATGTTCCTCACGCACGATCGCTACATGAAGCAGCCGTCGCCCTACATCGAGCCCATCAACCCCGTTTTCCTCAACGGCCAGCCGCTCTTCTGCAGCTGCTTCCTCTTCTTCCGCCCCACTCTCCCCGCCAAAAGCCTCGTAGGCAACTGGGCGTTCCGCATGGCAAAGCTGGGCCGGCAGGGAGGGCTAGATCAAGACCAGCTGAATCTAGTCATGCAGTGGATGCTAGAAAGGAAGGTGCTGCCTCGGATTGGTGTGCTGCCGCCGCTGCAGTTTCCGTCCGGGCAGCTGATGAAGGATCACTGGCTGAAGTTTGAGGAGGTGAGGCCGAGAGTGGTGATGGTGCATGCGAATTATCTGACTGGGAAGGTGGCGAAGGTCAAGGGGTTGAAGAAGGCGGGGCTGTGGCGGGTGAAAACGCAGGGTAATGCAACTGCTGCTGCTGCTGCTGCTGCTGCTGCTGCTGCTGCTGCTGCTGCTGGTGCTGGTGCTGGTGCTGGGAAGGGGCAGGGAGGTAGTGACAAGGAGACGGCAGCGGGAAGGGTGGAGAAGGCAGGAGCAGAAGGGGATGAGGTAGAAGAAGAGGAAGAGGCGGTAGAGGAGGAGGAAGAAGAGCCAGTGCTGCTGTTCCCAATGCCTAGGCGCCCAGATGAGGCTGGAGAGCAGGACAGCTTAGGCGAGACCCCAGGGATGCTGGAGCGGGGGAGAGAGGAGGGCAGCGCTGGGGGGAAGGGCACGGAGGGGGAGGCCTGGGTGGGGGAGCCGCTGGCAGGCGGAGGGGGAGGGGGAGCGTCAGGGGGAAGTGGTGGGGAGGGCGGAGCGGAGGAAAGGGGGGATTGGGAGGCGGAGGTGCTGGGAGCAGTGGAGCCGTGGGTGCGGGAGCATCTTAGGGAGATGGAGGAGAAGGGGACGCGGATCAAGGGGACTGCTGGCATGGAGATCGTCACTGTTGCCTGCGATGGTGCGTTGCTGTTGTTAGAGAGGTGATTCGCGGGTTGATGCAGCATACATTCATGCATGGTTGGGGTGGGGGAGCATCTGGGCAAGATGCGGGAGGTGGGGGGGAGGCGCATGATGGGGTGGGGGCTGCTGGCATGGTGATTGTCACTGTGAGGTGAATTTTGAGGCGCCTCAAAACTCGCGAGTAGTGAGGTGAATTTTGAGGCACCTCGAAAATCTGGGGAAGATGCGGGAGGTGGGGAGGGGAGGCGCATGATGGGGTGGGGGCTGGCTGCTGCCAGCTGGCATGGCAATGATTTTTGAGAGCATCATGGCTTCTCAAAAGTCGCATGATGGGGTGAGAGCTGAGCTGCTGCCAGCTGGCATGGTGATTGTCACTGTCTGTCGCCTGCGATGGTGCGTTGCTGTTGTTGGAAAGGTGAGTGTTGCACATGGGCTGTATGTATCCCTATGCCCACCAACCTCTTGCTCCTGCCTCCCTCCCCTATGCCCACCAACCTCTTGCTCCTGCCTCCCTCCCCTATGCCCACCAACCTCTTGCTCCTGCCTCCCTCCCCTATGCCCACCAACCTCTTGCTCCTGCCTCCCTCCCCTATGCCCACCAACCTCTTGCTCCTGCCTCCCTCCCCTATGCCCACCAACCTCTTGCTCCTGCCTCCCTCCCCTATGCCCACCAACCTCTTGCTCCTGCCTCCCTCCCCTATGCCCACCAACCTCTTGCTCCTGCCTCCCTCCCCTATGCCCACCAACCTCTTGCTCCTGCCTCCCTCCCCTATGCCCACCAACCTCTTGCTCCTGCCTCCCTCCCCTATGCCCACCAACCTCTTGCTCCTGCCTCCCTCCCCTATGCCCACCAACCTCTTGCTCCTGCCTCCCTCCCCTATGCCCACCAACCTCTTGCTCCTGCCTCGTCTCGCCCATCACACCCCCATGCCTGATTCCCTCATCCCTCCAACCACCATCCTCTCCCCCCGCTCAGGACAGGGGCGGGGCATTGTTCCACAACTGGTTCACTCACAAGGGCCGTATAGAAATCACTTCTGAGAATTCTCAAAAGTGATTTCCCCCACTCAGGACAGGGGGCATTATTCCACAACTGCTTCACTCACAAGGGCCGCAGCACCCTTTTGCCTACAAGGTCAAGAGGCATTGTTCCGCCACTGGCTTACCCAAATGGGCAGCATCCCTCCCCTTACCACCCTCTTGTTGCTGCCTTACCCATCCCTCCCCATGCCTGATTCCCCACCATCGCCGCTCCCCCTTCCCCACCCCCACTCTCCCTTCAGGCCAGGAGGCATTATTCCGCAACTGGTTCACCCACACGTGCCGCATTCCTTCTCTCGGCAACATCGTGCTCGCCTCCGTGCCTCCTCAGGTGAGTGAGTGCCCTTCTCGTTCCCTAGAGGACCCTGCCCTGCCACGTCAACTGCTGTTCTAGTTCCCACTCGCCTCGGCTGCCCCATTCTAGTTTTCAATCTGAGTTGGATTGACCGCCTAACGACGACTAACGCTGGACCGACTAACGTTAGTCCAGCCTAACGATGACTAACGCTGGACCGACTAACGTTAGTCCAGCCTAACGACGACTAACGCTGGACGCATCCGTCTGCCCGAAGGCTGGGCACTTTGCTTGGGCTTTTTCTTTTTTGGGCAGCCAGAAAACAAATCATATCGTGCAGTTTTCAGCGCGATTCACTTTGCGATGAAATCGCTAATGTCTCCCCTGCCCTTCTCCTGTCCCGGTGTGTCCCTCCAAGCACCTGCATGTGCCACTCTGCCAGGGGGTCACACACACCACAGAGCGCCCCAAGGAGAGAGCACGTAGGAGGGCATGTGATCACTCGCTCGCACCAATGAGAGCTTGTTGTCTCGAGTGGCTGCAACAAACAAACATGCCTGCTCCTGCCGCCCCTGTTGAGTTTTGAGACGTCTCAAAACTCGCTCCGATGAGAGCTTGTCGTCTTGAGTGGCTGCAACAAACCAAACATGCCTGCTCCTGCCGCCTCTGTTGAGCCGCCTCCCATCACAGCCCCCCACTCCTCTTTCCCCCCTGTGTCTCCCCAACATGCAGAAGCGCACGCACTCCAGGCGGCCACGTGATTACGCGCTCCAATCAGAGCACGCCGACCCAATGAGAGCAAGTTTCACATGCTCTTCTCCTGCGTTTACTCCATTATCGTCCTCTCCTCCCCTGTCTCGTCTCACCACCCCTCAGCTCTCAGATGCGCACACCAGCCAGCCATGTGATCACACGCTCCAGTGAGAGCACGTCACCCCGAGTGCCTGCAGGCTTTTCAGCCGACACAATAGTAGCCTCCCTGCCTTTTTCCTGTCCCTGTGTCTCCCAGCCACCAATCAGATGCGCACGCCAGGCGGCCACGTGATCACGCGCTCCAATCAGAGCTTTATCGCCCCGAGTGGCCAGAGCCACGTGCTGCTGTCTCTTCCCCCGTGATCTTCCCCTCCTCTCCTGTCTCGTATCGTCTCAACACCCCTCAACTCAACATGCAGATGCGCACGCCAAGCTGCCACATGATCACGCCCTCCAGTGAGAGCACGTCACCCCAGTGAAAGCAAGGTCCCCTGATTCAATGCGAGCTCTTCTCCTGCGCCCTTACTCTATTATTTTCCCCTCCTCTTCCGTCTCATCTCAACAACCCCCACCATGCAGATGAGCACGCCAGGCGGCCATGTGATCACTCGCTCCAGTGACAGCTTGTCGCCCCGAGTGGCCGCAACAAACATGCCTGCTCGTGCCGCCCCTGCTGAGCTGCCTCACATCACAAGTCTCCCCTGCACCTTTCCTGTCCCCAACTCTCTCCGCTCAACATGCAGATGAGCACGCCAGGCGGCCATGTGATCACTCGCTCCAGTGACAGCTTGTCGCCCCGAGTGGCCAGAGCCACGTGCCTGCTGCTGCCGCCCCTCATCCTCGCCCGCCTGCTGGCTGCCAATGTCACTGTTCTCTACAGGTACAGTGTGCTCGGTGCAGTGAGCAGTGCAGTGAGCAGAGCACTATGCTGTTATATCTAAGCGCCCCATGTTCCCCTCATCCTCGCCCGCCTGCTGGCTGCCAATGTTACTGTTCTCTACAGGTACAGTGTGCGGTACAAGGAATACGAAGGGATACGGTTGCAACTACTTTACTGTTTGCTGTTGCGGTTCGATACAGTGACGACTCGGGCAACTGCTCTGTAGCGAGTCAGTTGTGTGTCCTTGCTGTCGCGCTGTACTCTGTCAGGTCAAAGGTCGCTGACCTTTGGCTTTCGCGTAACCTCCAACAGTTGTTTTCAACCTCCGAGGGTTGACTCGCCGGTGCTTCGATATGCTTCGCTTCGTTTGTGCCTTAGTGTTTCGACACGACAGAGGCGCTTAAGATCGATTGTTTCCAACACTCCCCTTCGCTTCTGGAGTGTCGCTGCTGGTGACGTGGCTCTGTCCAGTCAGCAGCATGCAGTACTCGAACTTCTGCTTTCCGAGTTTCTTGGTCAAGTAGTCGGCTGCCATCTCGGACGTGGGGCAGTATGACAGCTCGAGCCTTCCTTTCTCGATCTCGTCCTTCACGAAGAAATATCGCAGGGCGATGTGTTTCATCCTGTTCGCGAAGCCGTTCTTGTTGGCGATGCGAATTGCCGACTGGTTGTCGCAGAACAGTGTGAAGCTGGGTAACTGAGCCAGCTTCGCTTCTTCCAGCAGTTCGCGAAGGTAAAGTCCTTCCTTGGTGGCTGAACAAAGTGCAATATATTCTGCTTCAGCTGACGAGAGGGCGATTAATTCCTGCTTGCTCGACTGCCATGAGATAGGTCCGATAGGTTCGAGGCGGTAGATGTAACCGGTGCGGGAGCGCCTGCTGTCGGAGTCGCCAGCGTGATCGGCGTCGACGTAGCCGATTAACTTAGGCGGTGTAGTTGCGTTCTTGTGGTAAGTTAGGCCGATCGTCGGGGTGCTGACGAGGTAGTGAAAAGCGCGGTCGAGTTCTGCTAGATGTTCCGCTTCAGGCTTCTTGAGGTAGGTGGCGAGCTGACTTGCAGAATACGATAGGTCCGGGCGGCAGGTGACAGCTGCGAAAAGGAGGCATCCCAGTTTCCTCTGGTAGTCGCGTATGCCGGCGGGCTTAAGTAGAGTGGAGCTTCCCTTGCTGCTTCCTGTCGTGTAGCGGTACGGTGTGGAGATGGCGGTCGGTGTGAGTGCGAAGCGCTTGGCGATGGTGTCTGCGTATTTCGCGGCACTGAGGTGGATCACGTCTTCCTCTTCTCGGATGTTGAGACCGAGGTACTGTGTGACGGTAGATGAGACCGTGAGCGTGAGGTCCTTCTGTAGCTCCCCTTCGAACCAGGTTGTGATGCCGTCGGTCGAGCCGATGTAGAGCAGATCGTCTACGTAGACGATTAACAGGATGTAGTCGGTGTTCTTCGTGAGCCGGTACATGCCCTGATCATGCGGTAGTTGTTTGAAACCGATGCGAATGAGGCGAGCGTGCAGGTATTGTTGCCATAGCCGTGGAGCTTGCTTGATGCCGTAGAGCGACTTCAGCAGCTGACAGACTTGATTGGGCTCACCGTTGGAGCCGTGCGGTAATTCGACGAAAATTTCTGCGTCAACAGGTGCGTAGAGGAATGCGTTCGCGACGTCGATTTGTCGCAGCTTCTTCTTCATGGCGGCGATCGCGAGGAGGATTCGGAGTGAAGTGTGTCGACTGACCGGAGCGAATGTTTCGGTGAAGTCGTGTCCGTGTTCTTGGTCGAAGCCGCGTACGACCCATCGAGCTTTAAACTTGTCGATGGTGCCGTCAGCCTTTGTCTTCACACGGAAGTCCCATTTCCCGGTGAGTACTGTTTTGTTACGTGCTACTCCGATAGGGACGACCTTCCAGGTGTTGCGTTCCTCCAGCGCCTTTAGCTCCCTGTCCATGGCTTCGCGCCATTTTTCCTCATGTTCCCCCCCTCAGAGCCTGTTGAACTGTCGCAGGCTCTTTAGGAATGGCTGCGCCGTGAACTGCGGTGACGAGACCAAGGTTTTGGAGTCCACTCTGTGTGTAGCGGGGGAGTGAAGTGACCTCGGGATAAACTGCTTCGTCTCCCGCTTCTGGATCAGGTGCGAAATTAGGTCCTACGCGTTCTGCTTCGTCGGTGTTGACTTGTGCAGGTGTAACGTAACCGTTGTCAGCGAAATGGTAATAGGCGTCGGCGTTGATGCTTTCGCGTGGGTTTTCGTCGTCCATTGGCACGTCGACGGAGCAGTAGGGGAGGGGTCCGGCATCTTCCGAGGCTCCTTCCACGTTCTGCTCGTCCCAGTCAGCTTCGTCGTCTGCCGAGGCGAAGGCTCGGGTGCCTTGAAAACCAGCGGAGCGATCGGGGTTTTCTTCTTGCAAGTTGGCAAGGTAATACCGGAGGGTGAGGTTTTCGTAGAAAATGACGTCACGTGCTGCCACTGTCTCTTTTGTCTCGACGTCGAAAATTATCCATGCGTTGTAATGCTTTTCAATGCCCAGGTGTAGCCCCCACTGTGCGCGTTAAGAGAATCGGCCGGCTCGTGCAGATGGGGGCCGGTACTGTACCATGCAGCCGAAGACTCTTAACATTTTTGTGCTGCCCTGCTTTCCTGTCCACAGCAGGTGCGGTGATGCGTTGTTCGGGAGCGAAGATGACGAGAGCAAGTTGTGCAGCATGACGGCGTGGTCCATTGCTTCGGGCCATTGGTCGTTGGGCAGGTGCATGCCACGTAGCAGCTTGCGCATGGTGTTCTGGAGGGTCCTGTTCATCCTCTCTGCTACTCCTTGCTGTTGATGGGCGTAGGGAAGGGAGATGAGCCGCTTGATTCCTCTTTCAGCCAAGTACTGCTTGAACCTTTGTGAGGTGTATTCTCCTCCCCCGTCTGACTGGAAGCTCTTCAGTTTGACGCCCGATTCTCGCTCTGCTACTGGGAGCCACGCGACGAAGGCTTCGAAGGCCATGTCTTTGCTCGGAAAGTTTAGATGCCAGACGTATCGTGTGGCGGCGTCGATGAAGGTGATGGTGTAGTTGTACGCGTTTTGTCCAGGCTCGCGGTTGTACAAGATGTCGCTGTACACCTTCTCGAGTGGTGCGTAAGCTGGTGCGCTTGGGTTGTGGTGAGACGCGAACGGTTGATGTGGTAAGTCAGCTTCGGGACAGGTGAAGCATGTTTCTCGAGCTCGCTGAAGTTCTCTGCCGTCAGTTAGGAGTAGAGAGTCTTTATCGAGTACGCCTGCTCTTATCGTGTTGTTTAACACCGTGTTGCTTGGATGTCCCATTCTTGCGTGCCAGGTTCCTTCGGTGGCGCGATATCCGGGTGAGCGTCGATACATATCGGAGTTGGAATAGAAGCTGGCGGTGAAGTTGGCGCTTCGATGAACTTCTCGTGGTGCTGGGTGTAGTTGTTGCGCGGGTGTCGGTGGTGTGTCGTCGACGAGGAGTGGTGCCGTTGAAGGACCAGCGACTGGCGTTGACGTTCCTGCTGCTGCCGGTGTTGTTTCTGCTGCTGCCGATGTTGTCTCTGCTGCTGCTGATGTTGTCTCTGCTGCTGCCGATGTTGTCTCTGCTGCTGCCGATGTTGTCTCTGCTGCTGCCGATGTTGTCTCTGTTGCTGCCGATGTTGTTTGAATTGTTGCTAACGCCCTTGTTCTTTATGCCTCAGGGATGGTGTGTGAATACAAGAAGCCGCCGGGGCTGAAGTCTGGATCAAGGTCTGGAGGGTGGGTCCAGGAAGTGAAGGTGACGATGCCGTCGCTGTCTGCTGTGCCGAGATCTGGAACAAAATCAAGAACGAAGACGTTATTTTTCAGGATCGCCTTTCCGATGTAGAGACCGCCCTTCCCGTGGTACAGCTTGAACTCCTGAGTGGTGCTATCTGCTTCAAGGTGGATACCTTTAGCCATCAGTTGGCTAACGCTGAGTAAGTTGTAGCCGAGGCCTTCTGCGATTAAGACCTTGGACATTTGTAGTATGACATTTGTCTCTCGTGACTGAAGTTGAACGATTCCTTGTCGTCGTGTGCGCAGGCTTTCGTTGTTGGCGACGGTGATGACTACTTCGCGTTGGAGTTGGTTCTCTCGTTGCACGAAGCGTCCTGAAGAACGCATGTGTTGTCCGCAGCAACTGTCCAAGAACCACGTGTCCTTTCCGGATGGTTCGCTTTGGGCGATGGCTGCGTATGTCGGATTCGGCTGGAGTGAATTGTCAGAATGTTGTATTTGTCTAGCCTGCAGTGGGGTACTCTATAGCGAGTACAGCCCAATCTAGGGTTTCCTATATGTACTCAACTGCTTGCTAGTGAAACCCCTCCTTTCTTCATTCTTACTTTCTACTGCTAGTTCTGAGATGAATCGCGGTGAGGTGTGGTGTCGTCGAGTTGTTCTTCCGGTGAGTAGTACAGTGGTGATCCCGTGATGCAAGAGTCGCTCAGTCTTGCCATGCAACTGACGATGTTCCTTGCTCCTTGTGCAGGTTGTCCTGTTGAGGTCGTTGAGGCTTTAATCTGTGTCGTAGGATTTGCTTGTGTTGAGGCGACTTGATTGCTTGAAGGTCGAAGCTGTCGCTGTGGAGGCGTTGACTGTTGTCGATTCGGGCAGTGCGTGCGCGGGTGCCCTGACGTCTTGCAGATGTGGCAGAACGGAGGTACGGGCTTCGGTTGTTGTTGTTTGTTGTTGTTGTAGCGTCGCTGAGTGTGGAATGCAAATTCCGGTGCTGATGTCTTCTTCTTGTGTCGTTCTTCTTGCAGGTCCATGTCTTGTTGCTCGGCATGGATTTCGGCGCAGAGTGCTGCTTCGGAGATTCTTCCGTGGGCTCGGAGAATGGCCTTTGTTGCGCGCCATTGAGGACCGAGGCCGCCAATGATGACTGTCACGAAATCGACCCTCCGCATCGAAGAAGCTTGTCGCGCAACTCGCGACATCGGCTGATATACGCCATTCCTTTATCGCCTGGTTTCATTTCGACCGTTATCAGTTGCGCCATTAACCGACTTTGATTTACGCTGTCTGTTGCTTGATACAGGCTCTTCAAGTGGTTGTATGCGAGCTCCGCGGAGTTGCCGTAACCCCGGTAAGACCGTATATTCTGCTGTTCAGTCGGGGTGATGTTTCTCAGTAGAATCGTGTACGCCATCATTGACTGATAGGTGTACTGCTGCTTCTCATACTGTGTGCCGTTTGTTGGGTATGGCAGGGACCCGTAGAAGAAGTCAAGTATCTACGCGCCTTCCATCATTAACTCGAATTCAAACGACCAGGTGAAGAAATCCTTTCCATCGAAAAGTCTTGACGTCTGCATCTTCAGAACGTGCGCGAACTGCGACTGAACTTGTAATGCGTCCAGTGGCTTTTCTTGTCCAGGTGAAGGCTGCGGGTGTGGCATAAAGCTAATGGACCCGCGCTCGTACGGAGCAAAGGTAGGCTGCTGCTGTTGATTTCCTCGTGCGTATGATGAGCCGTCGAGACTCATGGGAGTTGCTCCGTTGTTGTTGCTGTTGTGTGACTGCGCAGGTGCCGATTGCTGGTGTTGCTCGTAGAAAGACATGAAGGAGAAGAACTTCTCCATCATACTTGGGTCGAAGCCCGCGGCTTGGTTTGCGGGAGTTTCGGTGGATGTTGCCCTGGGTCTTGTTGCCGTACCCTCCTCTGTCTGTAGGCCAGAGGCAGGAGGTGGAGTAGGAGTGGTGCCCTGGGAGCCGTTGGAGGAGCTCCTTTCCTTTTGTGTAGCCATGCCTGTTGATGTTGTAGGTGTCTTGATAGTTGAATTCCCCCTGATAGCTCTCATACCATATTGGGCTGAGAAAATAGCCCTTAGGATCTTTGCAGGGGTGAACTCTGGGTAGGACTGATGTAATAGCGGAAGCTTTAATGAAGTAGTTGAACCACCTTGCGCTAGTATGTGAGGGCGAAGTAGATTGATTAAAGCAAAGAGATACAAGATTATATAAGAGTACAAGGAATACGAAGGGATACGGTTGCAACTACTTTACTTTTGTCTGTTGCGGTTCGATACAGTGACGACTCGGGCAACTGCTCTGTAGCGAGTCAGTTGTGTGTCCTTGCTGTCGCGCTGTACTCTGTCAGGTCAAAGGTCGCTGACCTTTGGCTTTCGCATAACCTCCAACAGTTGTTTTCAACCTCCGAGGGTTGACTCGCCGGTGCTTCGATATGCTTCGCTTCGTTTGTGCCTTAGTGTTTCGACACGACAGAGGCGCTTAAGATCGATCGTAATCAAGTGCATGGGATCTGGGAAGGTTGGTTGGAGGTTCATCAGCCTGGTTGGTGGTTGTCCAATAAAGCCCCATGTCGGGGCCATGGTGACTTGACTTCTGAGGACTCAAAATTCACTCACTGACAAGGCTTGACCATTGTACCGGTAACTGATCTGATCAAGCTTCTACTTGTCTTCAGGTACGGCCTGCCATACCATGCAGTGCGTGCAAGTAAGCATGAGTCAGGGTGCACCAGAGCTTGGATTGAACAATCTAGCAGGAACTTAGGGGTGAAGAGACATGGCAGTCAGCTAAACCATAATTTGATGTAAAAAGGAATTTTCCAAACGCCTGATTTTGAGCTAGAGAGATACTATCAAGTGTCATGTAAGATCAATATCTGATTTGATTTTTCGTTGTTGTGTTATCCTCTTACGTTTCACGATTGTACCCTGCCTTTATCGCATCCCTGCTTTTATCAGAGCTTACCAAATTGTCGGGAACTGAACACCAGTTCCTCAGAATCACTTCCCTAGCTATGATTTCGCGACTGCTCTGCTGGCGGGAACGATGGCTATGGCCCAAGTCAGTTTAGGACGCAGCATGGGTTCCGTCCGTCTCTCTCGCGTTCGCCGAAGCTGTGAAGCGGCGATTCCAGTGTTCACGAACCACAATGAAGGTACGGACGGCGAACACATTCTCGAGCGGCCTCGAGCTGATCACGACACCGATTCCGTCCATTTTGACCCGTCAACCAATCAACCGCCAGTCGGGCACTTTTTCCGTCGACGAACCTAGTATATGGGCAGCGGGCGAGTTTAGCGGAAACGCGACCCGTATACATTTCTGGGCAGCGTCACTTGAGTTTGCTGCCCGAAAACTCCGTGATTGCAGATGAGCGAGTCGAAATGTTGTCCTTTCGGACAGCTCCGAGCTAGGAGGTTCCGCAGACTCGTAAAGCTCCTATTGGCTGGCCAAACCTTTCATGCTGTCGGATCCAATCACACAGCAGTATCATAACACTACCGAAGTGTTTTTTTTTTTTCACGTTGGGCAGCAGGCTTTCTTCCTCCGCAGCCTCGAGAGTTTTTTCTGTCCACCCGAGCTCCATCCACTCTTCCCTTCGCCTTCGAACCTCCTCCCTTCCCAAATCTACAAATCCCACCCGTCCTCGTCATCCCCACCACCACACCAGTTAATCCCAATCTGCCTTCGACTCTCGGACTCAGCTTCTAGCTCCTCGAGGCTTCGATCAGCTTCAGGTTTTAGCTTCGCCTCTCGTTTCGCCTGTGCGATTAGCCTACCGCTATGGCATCTCGGATTCCCCCGTCTCTTGCTGGATCTGCGCGCCGCGCTAACATCTTGAAGACGTGGCGGCACGCGATTGCAGTGCGCGTGGGACGCTTTAACGAGGTAGAGCAGTGCGCTATGCGCTCCCCCCGTGCGTCGCTCGGCTTCTCCCCTCTGCGACCCAAGCCCGTGGCTAAGCCGCCCAGCAAGAAGCCCAGGCCCAGGGATGTGATGGGTACCGCTGCTGCTGTGAAGCCCAGAACGGTGCAGAGCGGTCAATCGACCGTCGCAGCTGCAGCAACCAAAGCCACGCCAGCTAAGGTGACGCCAGCAAAGGCGGCGCCTAAGGCGACGCCAGCTAAGGTGGCGCCGGCTAAGGCGACACCTGCAAAGGCGACACCAGCCAAGGCAACGCCAGCCAAGGCAACGCCAGCCAAGGCGACGCCAGCTAAGGCGACGCCAGCTAAGGCGACGCCAGCTAAGCCGACGCCAGCCAAGGCAACGCCAGCTAAGGCGACGCCAGTTAAGGTGACGCCCGCTAAGGTGACGCCGCCAGCTAAGGCGACGCCAGTGACACCAGCTAAGGCGACACGTGCAAGCCCAGCTGCGGCGGTAGGTGTGAAAGCTGCAGGTGCAAGCAGTCCAGCAGTAGCAACAGCATCAGCAGCAGGAGCCGCAGCACCTCAACACAGCCCGAAGGCGGGTGTTGTTGGCGGGTCTGGAATCCCCAGACCTGCAAGCAGTGCGTCAACAAGGAGGGCCGCAGCAGGAGCGACGGCGAGTGGCATTCCGAAGCCAGGGAAGGTAGCAGCCAAGTGAACGAGTGGAAAAAAAAAAAAAAAAAAAAAAAAAAAAAAAAAAAAAAAAAAAAACAGCAGCAGCATCAGATGGGATCCTGGGCATGTTTATTGGGGATGTGAAGGGACGAATGTGGTGGGCGAGATGGCATGGCTGGTGGGGGATAGAGGGAGGTGCATGGAGGGACTTACCCCTTTTTCCACCCTGCTTGCAGGGTGTTGTGGGAGAGATGGTAGGAGAGGTGGAGGAATGTGGTGAGCTGGAATGGGGAGGCATGGCATGAGGGGGAATGACATGCCCTTGGATCCGAATGCTTGTGCTGGCTGTGTACTTCAAGGGAAATGCTCATGCTGACTGTGCCATCTGTTGCTGCACCGTGCACCTGCTTGGCTCATGAATGGTCGAAAGTTCTAGATCATCATAATTTATCTTTCTAGGTCCGTAGCTTGTATTTGTTAATCCTATATCTATATATATGCTATAAATGTTCATATTGTGTGTGTTGCAATGCGACTGAGTGGTGCATGGAAGGGAGGGAGGAATGGTTTGTGGATGTTTTCGTATGGATGGGTGACGCAGGGAGAAGAAAGTTGATGGTGCTGGCACTGGCTGTCTGATTCAATGGGAATGCTCATCATGGTGACCTGGTCAGCAGTAATAGTTCTCTGGTCATTTCATCATGCCGTGTTCTCATTCAGAGCAGCCTAGAAACATCTAAGTCATGACTTCATTCCATTCTGACCCTTTTCCTCCCCTCTGCATCCCCTCCCCTTTCTGCATGCTTAGAACGTTTTCAACATTTTCTTACTGAGGTCATGGTTGGGAGTTTGGAGGATTCTACACACAGTCACTATTTCCCCCACCCCATCCCTTCCCGACATCTCTTTTCCCTCCGTATCGCTACTACCCATCCCATCCCTCCTTCCCTCCGTTCAGATCTTTGAGAACAGTTCTTATGCATCAACCATCACAGGGCATGTATATTTTTCATGTGCTACTTGGTGGGTATTTCGTTCAAGTTTGATTGCCTCTTGATGCGTTCACCAATTCTTGCCAGATTCATCATTCACCGTTTCATGTCATCATTTTTTTAGTTTTTCTTTGCAGTCTTATCAGCTCATGATGCGTTCACCATCTCATTCCAATTTCATCAGCTCATCATCATTCGTTCAATCTCTCATGCCATTCACACATCAGCTGATGATTCTTTCCTCTCCACGATTTCATATCACCACCTACTCCCATCCTCCCCCCCCTCCTCATCTTTCATTTCTCGGAAACGTGAACAGCACTGGAATGTTTAAGAAACCCAGGATAATCCCTTCTTTTTCACATCAGCTAAAGTTGTTGTTGCTGTGTGTAATATTTGCTCTTTCGAAGCAGCGTATGTTGATGCTGCATCTCATGCCAGTTTCAACAGCTTGTGATGCTTTCACCATTTCCTGCCAACTCATCAGCTCAAGTCATGAGTCTTTCAGCTCATCACTCTTTTACCCTCTCATGTCGCTTTCATTAGCTCATCATTTCGTTCCTTACCTCATGAGCCTCATGCCTTTCACATGATGCTTTCAGTGGCTCATGATGCTTTCAGTTGCTCATGCTGCTTTCAGTTGCTCATGATGCTTTCAGCTGCTCATGATGCTTTCAGTTGCTCATGTTGCTTTCAGTTGCTCATGATGCTTTCAGTTGCTCATGATGCTTTCAGTTGCTCATGATGCTTTCAGTTGCTCATGCTGCATTCAGTTGCTCATGATGCTTTCAGTTGCTCATGATGCTTTCAGTTGCTCATGATGCTTTCAGTTGCTCATGATGCTTTCAGTTGCTCATGCTGCATTCAGTTGCTCATGATGCTTTCAGTTGCTCATGCTGCATTCAGTTGCTCATGATGCTTTCAGTTGCTCATGATGCTTTCAGTGGCTCGTGCAAATTTCAGTGGCTCATGATGCTTTCAGTGGCTCGTGTGTATTTCAGCTCAGCATGATACTGATTTGAGAAAACATAGAAAGTTTCTTGATTATCCATACTGCACCCAACTCCCCCTCTCCTAATTCTTTCCTACTTCCATCCTTTACTCCCTCCCTCCTCTTTCAATCATCTGAGTATCAACCAGTAGTGATGCTGTCAGCACCCCTAGTTGTTTACACCATTCCCCTAGCAGATATTGTAAACGAAATTGCTTTTTATGCCACATTGAATAGCTCATTTCTGATGCTTTCAGTATTTCATGCCATAGTCAGGATCATGATGTTTTTCGTATTGTATGCCAGTTTCAGCATGCCATAGTCAGGATCATGATGTTTTTCGTATTGTATGCCAGTTTCAGCAGGTTATGCTCTCAGTTTCTCAAGTGAATACTTGAAGGTATTAGTGATTTTAGTTTCTCATGCCCAATTCCACCCGCATTTTCTGTTTTCAGTGTGTCATGCTAATCTCGTCAGCTCAGCATGCATTTCATCAGCACCTGATGCTTTTTGTAGCTCTCCTCAATCTCCATCATTGGGTCATGCCTTAAGTATCTCTTGTGATTTTACAGCAGCTCCTGATGTGTTCACTATCTCATGCCAAATTCATATGGTCATCGTTCTTTTCCTTCTCTTGCCAATTTCATCGAGTCAGAAACCTGTCCGTGTATTTTGTTCCAACTTGACAAGCTCATGTTGTCTGCTGCAGCAGCTCATGCCAGTTCAATCAGCGCCTGATGGTTTCAGTATCTACGGTATTCCAAGTTCACCTGCCCACGATGCTACCGTATCAGCATTTCATGGTAACTTCGCCAGCTGATGGCGCATTCACTATCGCATCCTCTTTCAGCACCCCGTGAATTATTTTAATTTCTCTGATGAGAGATTGTGTTCCCACAACGTTTCTATATTATACAGCTACGATAAATACAAGAAATGGATCAGAATACTAGTGTGAATCTAAACAGTTGCAAGGTTTCAGGTTCATATGAATCTTACAGTTGCGTTACGAACTTACGGTTAACAAATCTGCAATGATCGAATCGCTAGTTTTTCTCTTCATGCTGGTTTGGGATGCCAGACCGAACCCTAGTTCCTCGGGAGCAGTTTGCTAGAAGCATCCGTGCGAGGCGCGTTTCCTGACAATGTGATGTCCAGTCACCTTACGATGCATTACAGGCTCCGTCTCAATCAGGTTTCCCCCTCGCCGCTATGCGGCGACAATTGCACTCTACTGACGATGACGGAACGGAACCATTCTTCGAGCAGCCTTGGTCTCATCTCATGACGGCAAGTGCTTCAAGTTTACCTATCATCCAGTCAACGCACCAGGAGACCCCTTCTTTTCGTGGACGAACCACTTCCTGTTGCTTCGGCAGCGGGCGAGCTTAGCGGAAATGCGACTCGAATCTGTTTTCCGCTTCCCAGAATTCTCCTCGTCCAAAGCGAAAGAGTCGCTGCTGCTGTCCTACGACAGCGGTCAACATCGAAGTTCCGCTCCCAAGCCTCCGAAGGCTCGGATTCAACCAAACCAAAGCATATCATCCCCCCCCCACCATGTGTTTCGGAGTGTTTGCTCTTCTCGGTTCGGGCAGCGGGCTCGCCTCCTCCGGAGCCTCGAGAATTGCTCTTCGCCAGTCCAGCTTCATCCACTCTTCTTTCCGCCTTGGAACCTCCTTTCCGAACGCTACAAAGCCCTCCTGTCCTCGTCATTCCCACCACCACAGTAATTGCAATCCCAATCTGCCTTCGACTCTCGGACTCAGCTTCTAGCTCCTCGAGGCTTCGATCAGCTTCAGGTTTTAGCTTCGCCTCTCGTTTCGCCTGTGCGATTAGCCTACCGCTATGGCATCTCGGATTCCCCCGTCTCTTGCTGGATCTGCGCGCCGCGCTAACATCTTGAAGACGTGGCGGCACGCGATTGCAGTGCGCGTGGGACGCTTCAGCGAGGTAGAGCAGTGCGCTATGCGCTCCCCCCGTGCGTCGCTCGGCTTCTCCCCTCTGCGACCCAAGCCCGTGGCTAAGCCGCCCAGCAAGAAGCCCAGGCCCAGGGATGTGATGGGTACCGCTGCTGCTGTGAAGCCCAGAGCGGTTCAGAGCGGCCAAGCGACGGCCGCCGCTGCAGCAGTCAAAGTCACGCCATCTAAGGCGACACCAGCAAAGACGACGCCAGCAAAGGCGACGCCAGCAAAGGCGACGCCAGCAAAGGCGACGCCAGCAAAGGCGACGCCAGCTAAGGCGACGCCAACTAAGGCGACGCCAACTAAGGCGACGCCAACTAAGGCGACACTTGCTAAGACGGCGGCAGCTAATGCGACGCCAGTTAAGGTGATGCCAGTTAAGGTGACGCCGGCTAAGGTGACGCCAGCGACACTAGTAAAGGCGTCACGTGCAAGCCCTACTGCCGCGGTGGGTGTGAAGGCTGCAGGTGCAAGCAGCCCAGCAGCAGCACCAGCAGCAGCAGCAGCCGCACCAGCCGCAGCAGCTCCCCACAGCCCGAAGGCGGGTCTTGTTGGCGGGTCTGGAATCCCCAGACCTGCAGGCAGTGCAGCAACAAGGAGGGCCGCAGGAGCGACTGCGAGTGGCATTCCCAAGCCTGGGAAGGCAGTAGCAAACTGAAGGAGTGGAAAAAAAAAAAAAAAAAAAAAGCGAGAAGCAGCATCAGCAGATGGGATCCAGGGCGTGTTTATTGGGAATGTAATGGTAAGAGTGTGGTGGGTGAGATGGCATGGCTGGTGGTGGCTAGAGGGAGGTGCATGGAGGGACTTACCCCTTTTTCCACCCTGCTTGCAGGGTGTTGTGGGAGAGATGGGAGGAAAGGTGGAGGAGTGTGGTGAGCTGGAATGAGGAGGCATGGCATGAGGGGGAATGATAGCCCTTGGATCTGAATGCCTATGCTGACTGTGTGATTGAGGGGAATGCTCATACTGACTGTGCGATCTGTTGCTGCACCGTGCACCTGCTTGGCTTGGCTCATGAATAGTAGAAATAAGTTCTAGATATTTATCATTTAGGTCTAAACCCTATGTTCTAGGTCTGTAGCTTGTAGTCGCTGATGCTTTATTTATATATATGCTGTTGATGTGCATTCTGTGCTTGTGTGTTTCGACTGAGTGGTGCATGGAAGGGAGGAATGGTTGGTGTGTGTAATCGTATGGATGGGTGAAGCAGGGAGAAGAGACTTGATGGTTCTTGCAGTGACTGTGTGATTCCAGTGGAATGTGCATGCTGACTTGGTCAGCAGAGGAGGGGTGAAGCAAGGAGAAGTGGTGAGCAGGCGTGTGTGGTGGAGAATCATATCAGGTTTGTGTAATGACCCTCATCAGCTGATGCTCTCTCATTGACGCCCTTTGTTTCATTACCTCCAGCTTCAGGCATTTTTCTTTCTGTTCGGGAACGCATTTCTTGCTTGAGTTTATGTTGCCCTGCCATTCTAGTCTGCAGTAAATCCTCTCAGAATCCCCTCACGGCCTGCCCTCATTTATGATAATTTAGGTTGATACGAAATTGCCTTGTCTCCGCGTTTTCTGAACAAAACCCCTTTCACATCCTTCCCACCTCCCCTCTCATATGCATCCATAATGCTCCGCTCTCATCCCTCGCTTGCTCTTTCAAATTGATGCTTGGAAATCATGTAGAGGGGATACCTGAAAGCATATGTCGTGGAACCTGATAAAATTGTTGTCATTACATATTCTCTCTACCTCGCTTTCAGGGAGTCACAAACCTATCCGTGTATCTTGTTCCAATTTGACAAGCTTACTGTATGATGTTTGCAGCAGCAGCTCATGCAAGTTCAATCGGCTCCTAATGGTTCCAGTACACTATTCCAAGTTCACCTGCTCATGATGCTACGGTATCAGCATTTCATTGCAACTATCGCATCTTCTTCAGCATCCCAAGGCAGTCTCTTCTGCTGATGATCCCATCAGTATGGCATTCCTATTTCATCAGCTCATGATTACCATGGTAGCTCCTGACATTTTCAGTTGCTTGTTTGTGATGAGTCCAGTAACTCATGCCGAATTCATCAGCTCATGATGCTTGCTGGTTGCAGTTCAGTCAGTATATCTGCCATGCCAACCAAGCTCACCTGCTCATGTTGCTTAGGATCTTTACAGGGATTAACTCTGGGTAGGATTGTAATAGCGGAAGCGTTTAGTGAAGAGATTGTGAACCACCTTGCGCTAGTATGTGAGGGCAAAGTCGATTGATTAAAGCAAAGAGATACAAGATTATATAAGAGTACAAGGAATACGAAGAGACACGGTTGTAACTACTTTACTGTTGCTGTTGCGGTTCGATACAGTGACGACTCGGGCAACTGCTCTGTAGCGAGTCAGTTGTGTGTCCTTGCTGTCGCGCTGTACTTGTCAGGTCAAAGGTCGCTGACCTTTGACTTTCGCGTAACCTCCAGCGGTTACTTCAACCTCCGAGGGTTGACTCGCTGGTGCCTCGATATGCTTTGCTTCGCTTGTGTCTTGGTGTTTCGACACGACAGAGGCGCTTAAGACTGATTGTTTCCAACACTCCCCTTCGCTTCTGGAGTGTCGCTGCTGGTGACGTGGCTCTGTCCAGTCAGCAGCATGCAGTACTCAAACTTCTGCTTCCCGAGCTTCTTGGTCAAGTAGTCAGCTGCCATCTCGGTCGTGGGGCAGTATGACAGCTCGAGTCTCCCCTTCTCGATCTCGTCCTTCACGAAGAAGTATCGCAGGGCGATGTGTTTTGTCCTGTTCGCGAAGCCGTTCTTGTTGGCAATGCGAATTGCCGACTGGTTGTCGCAGAACAGAGTGAAGCTGGGTAACTGAGCCAGCTTCGCTTCTTCCAGCAGTTCGCGAAGGTAAAGTCCTTCCTTGGTGGCTGAGCAGAGTGCAATATATTCTGCTTCAGCTGACGAGAGGGCGATTAGTTCCTGCTTGCTCGACTGCCAAGAGATAGGTCCGATAGGTTCGAGGCGGTAGATGTAGCCAGTGCGAGAACGCCTGTTGTTGGAATCGCCAGCGTGATCGGCGTCGACGTAGCCGATTAACTTAGGTGTTGTAGTCCCGTTCTTGTGATAAGTCAGGCCGATCGTCGGAGTGCTGACGAGGTAGTGAAGAGCGCGGTCGAGCTCTGCCATGTGATCCGCTTCAGGTTTCTTGAGGTAGGTAGCGAGCTGACTTGCAGAGTACGACAGATCCGGACGGCAGGTGACGGCTGCGAAGAGAAGGCAGCCCAGCTTCCTCTGGTAGTCGCGTATGCCGGCGGGCTTGAGCAGAGCGGAGCCTTCTTTGTTGTTTCCTGTCGTGTAGCGGTACGGTGTGGAGATAGCAGCTGGTGTGAGTGTGAAGCGCTTGGCGATGGTGTCGGCGTATTTCGCGGCTCTGAGGTAGATGGCGTCTTCCTCTTCCCGGATGTTGAGCCCGAGGTACTGTGTAACGGTAGCTGAGACTGTCAGTGTGAGATCCTGCTGCAGCTCCCCTTCGAACCAGGTGGTGACGCTGTCAGTTGAGCCGATGTAGAGGAGATCGTCTACGTAGACGATTAGCAGGATGTAATCTGCGCCTTTCGTGATTCGGTACATCCCCTGATTGTGCGGTAATTGCTTGAAGCCGATGCGAATGAGGCGGGCGTGCAGGTACTGCTGCCATAGCCGCGGAGCTTGCTTTATCCCGTAGAGCGACTTTAGCAGCTGACAGACTTGGTTGGGCTCCCCGTTGGTACCGTGCGGTAGTTCCACGAAAATTTCTGCGTCAACGGGTGCGTAGAGAAATGCGTTCGCGACATCGATTTGCCGTAGCTTCTTTTTCTTCATGGCGGCGATCGCGAGAAGGATTCGGAGCGAAGTGTGTCGGCTGACCGGAGCGAAAGTTTCGGTGAAGTCTCGCCCGTGTTCTTGGTCGAAGCCGCGCACGACCCAGCGTGCCTTGAATTTGTCAATGGTGCCGTCGGCCTTCGTCTTCACGCGGAAGACCCATTTCCCGGTGAGTACTGTCTTGTTTTGTGCGACGCCGATGGGAACAACTTTCCAGGTGTTCCGTTCTTCCAGTGCTTTTAGCTCCTTGTCCATGGCTTCGCGCCATTTTTCCTTATGCTCCCCCCCAGAGCCTGCTGAACTGTCGCAGGCTCTTTAGGAATGGCTGCGCCGTGAACTGCGGTGACGAGACCAAGGATTTGGAGTCCACTTTGTGTGTAGCGGGGGAGTGAAGTGTCCTCGGGATAAACTGCTTCGTCTCCCGCTTCTGGATCAGGTGCGAAATTAGGTCCTACGCGTTCTGCTTCGTCGGTGTTGACTTGTGCAGGTGTAACGTAACCGTTGTCAGCGAAATGGTAGTAGGCGTCGGCGTTGATGCTTTCGCGTGGGTTTTCGTCGTCCATTGGCACGTTGACAGAGCAGTAGGGGAGGGGTCCGGCTTCTTCCGAGGCTCCTTCCACGTTCTGCTCGTCCCAGTCAGCTTCGTTTTCTGCCGAAGCGAAGGCTCGGTCTCCACGGAAGCCACCTGTGGGGTCTCGGTTTTCGTCCAGGTTGGCAAGGTACGTCTGCAGTGTGAGCCGCTCGTAGAAAATGACATCACGTGCTGCCACTGTTTCTTTTGTCGCGATGTCAAAAATCTTCCATGCGTTGTAGTGTTTTTCGATGCCCAGGTGTAGTCCCCACTGTGCGCGCTGAGAGAATCGTCCTGCTCGTGCAGATGGAGATCGGTACTGTACCATGCAACCGAAGACTCGTAACATTTTTGTGCTGCCCAGTTTTCCTGTCCACAGCAGATGCGGTGATGTGTTGTTCGGTAGTGACGACGAAGAAAGCAAGTTGTGCAGCATCACGGCATGGTCCATTGCTTCTGGCCATTGGTGAGAGGGTAGCCGCATGCCACGTAACAGTTTCCGCATGGTGTTCTGGAGGGTCCTGTTCATCCTCTCTGCTACACCCTGCTGTTGATGGGCGTAGGGAAGGGAAATGAGCCGCTTGATTCCTCTCTCTGCCAGGCACTGCTTGAACTTTTGTGAGGTGTATTCTCCTCCCCCGTCTGACTGGAAGCTTTTTAGTTTGACGCCCGATTCCCTTTCTGCTACGGGGAGCCAGGCGACGAATGCTTCGAACGCCATATCCTTGCTTGGAAGATTCAGGTGCCAAACGTAACGTGTCGCGGCGTTGATGAACGTGATGGTGTAATTGTACACGTTCTGCCCCGGTTCGCGATTGTACAGGATGTCGCTGTACACTTTCTCGAGTGGCGCGTAGGCTGGTGCGCTTGGGTTATGGTGAGACGCGAACGGTTGATGCGGTAAGTCAGCTTCAGGGCAGGTGAAACACGTTCCACGTACGCGTTGAAGTTCTCTTCCATCAGTCAGTAGTAGTGAGTCCTTGTCGAGTACTCCTGCTCTTATCGTATTATTTAATACTGTGTTGCTTGGGTGTCCCATCCTTGCGTGCCAGGTGCTTTCGTCGGCGCGATGTCCGGGTGATCGTCGGTACAGGTCGGAGTTGGAGTAGAAGCTGGCGGTGAAGTTGGCGCTTCGATGTACTTCTCAAGGTGTTGGATTCAGCTGTTGTGCAAGAGTTGGTGGGGTGTCGTCGTCGATTGGGGCTGGTGCAGTTGAAGGACCCGCGATTGGTGCCGATGTTGTCTCTGCTGCTGCCGATGTTGTCTCTGCTGCTGCCGATGTTGTCTCTGCTGCTGCCGATGTTGTTTCTGCTGCTGCTGAATGTTGAATCGTTGCTAACGCTCTTGTTCGTTCCGCTTCAGGAATGGTGTGCGAATACCAGAAACCTCCGGGGCTGAAGTCTGGATCGAGATCTGGTGGGTGCGTCCAGGAGGTGAAGGTGACGATTCCGTCGCTGTCGGCGGTGCCGAGGTCTGGAACGA